AAACAATGATTTTTATTTCTATTTGGTAATTTGTTGCACCAGTATATACAAACTATTTACTGACCTTCAGAAACAGAGTGTCCTATTAATGTATGTGTGACATATTATATGTGATTAAAGAATAAGTACTTTTTATTGCAGACAAGATTCATACATACAGTACAAGGCAAGGACGAGTCCACTGGTGCCGCTCCCCACAGGAATATATAGCAAATTACCACATTCCTTGAAATGCTTTTGTTGTTGTGAGTTCCCGTTCTACAATTCTACCAAGAAGACTGTTAGCAATGAGATGGAAAGTGTGGTTGTGGAACCCTGTGAAAACACAACCATCAATGCATAATTATTTTGTACAAAGTAAATGGCACTGTATCAAGATTTGGCCTTCCATGCATCACATCACATCACCAAAATGGAATTTTTTCCATGTGCGCATCAAATCGCACCATCATAATGGGATTTTTTTATGTATGCATCAAATCGCACCATAATAATGGGATTTCGCCATGTGCGCATCAAATTTCACCATCATAATGGGATTTTGCCATGTATGCATCACATCGCACCATCATAATGGGATTTTGCCATGTATGCATCAAATCCCACCATTATAATGGGATTTCTCCATGTGCGCATCCAATTGCAGCATCATAATGGGATTTCTCCATGTGCGCATCAAATCCCACCATCATAATGGGATTTCTCCATGTGCGCATCAAATCCCACCATCATAATGGGATTTCTCCATGTGCGCATCAAATCGCACCATTATAATGGGATTTCTCCATGTGCGCATCACATCGCACCATCATAATGGGATTTTGCCATGTGCACATCAAATAGCACCATCATAATGGGATTTTGCCATGTATGCATCACATCGCACCATCATAATGGGATTTTGCCATGTGCGCATCACATCACACCATCATAATGGGATTTTGCCATGTGCACATCACATCACACCATCATAATGGGATTTTGCCATGTGCACATCACATCACACCATCATAATGGGATTTTGCCATGTGCACATCAAATTGCACCATCATAATGGGATTTTGCCATGTGCGCATGCAATTGCAGCATCATAATGGGATTTCTTCATGTGCGCATCAAATTGCACCATCAGGATGGGATTGCACATCAAATCCCACCATCATAATGGGATTTTGCCATGTGCGCATCAAATCGCACCATTATAATGGGATTTCTCCATGTGCGCATCAAATAGTACCATCATAATGGGATTTCTCCATGTGCGCATCAAATTGCACCATCATAATGGGATTGCACATCAAATCCCACCATCATAATGGGATTTCTCCATGTGTGCATCAAATCCCACCATTATAATGGGATTTCTCCATGTGCGCATCAAATCCCACCATCATAATGGGATTTCTCCATGTGCGCATCACATCGCACCATCATAATGGGATTTTGCCATGTGCATATCAAATCGTACCATCATAATGGGATTTTGCCATGTATGCATCACATCGCACCATCATAATGGGATTTTGCCATGTGCACATCACATCACACCATCATATTGGGATTTTGCCGTGTATGCATCACATCACACCATCATAATGGGATTTTGCCATGTGCGCATCCAATTGCAGCATCATAATGGGATTTCTCCATGTGCGCATCAAATCCCACCATCATAATGGGATTTTGCCATGTGCGCATCAAATCGCACCATCATAATGGGATTTTGCCATGTATGCATCACATCGCACAATCATAATGGGATTTTGCCATGTATGCATCACATCGCACCATGATAATCGGGTTTCTCCATGTGCGCATCAAATAGCACCATCATAATGGGATTTCTCTATGTGCGCATCAAATCACACCATCATAATGGGATTTTGCCATGTACGCATCAAATAGCACCATCATAATGGGATTTTGCCATGTACGCATCACATCGCACCATCATAATGGGATTTTGCCATGTATGCATCACATCGCACCATGATAATCGGGTTTCTCCATGTGCGCATCAAATCGCACCATCATAATGGGATTTTGCCATGTACGCATCAAATAGCACCATCATAATGGGATTTTGCCATGTACGCATCACATCGCACCATCATAATGGGATTTTGCCATGTATGCATCACATCGCACCATGATAATCGGGTTTCTCCATGTGCGCATCAAATCGCACCATCATAATGGGATTTTGCCATGTACGCATCAAATAGCACCATCATAATGGGATTTTGCCAAGTACGCATCACATCGCACCATCATTATGGGATTTTGCCATGTATGCATCACATCGCACCATCATAATCGGGTTTCTCCATGTGTGCATCACATCGCACCATCATAATGGGATTTCTTCATGTGCGCATCAAATAGCACCATCATAATGGGATTTTGCCATGTGCGCATCAAATCGCACCATCATAATGGGATTTTGCCATGTATGCATCAAATCGCACCATCATAATGGGATTTTGTCATGTACGCATCACATCGCACCATCATAATGGGATTTTGCCATGTACGCATCAAATCGCACCATCATAATGGGATTTTGTCATGTACGCATCACATCGCACCATCATTATGGGATTTTGCCATGTATGCATCACATCGCACCATCATCGGGTTTCTCCATGTGCGCATCACATCGCACCACCATAATGGGATTTCTCCATGTGCGCATCAAATAGCACCATCATAATGGGATTTTGCCATGTACGCATCAAATCGCACCATCATAATGGGATTTTGCCATGTACGCATCAAATAGTACCATCATAATGGGATTTTGCCATGTATGCATCACATCGCACCATCATAATGGGATTTTGCCATGTGCGCATCAAATCGCACCATCATAATGGGATTTTGCCATGTATGCATCACATCGCACCATCATAATGGGATTTTGCCATGTGCGCATCCAATTGCAGCATCATTATGGGATTTTGCCATGTACGCATCAAATAGTACCATCATAATGGGATTTTGCCATGTATGCATCACATCGCACCATCATAATGGGATTTTGCCATGTGCACATCAAATAGCACCATCATAATGGGATTTTGCCATGTACGCATCAAATCGCACCATCATAATGGGATTTTGCCATGTATGCATCACATCACACCATCATAATGGGATTTTGCCATGTATGCATCACATCGCACCATCATAATGGGATTTTGCCATGTATGCATCACATCGCAGCATCATATTGGGATTTTGCCATGTGCACATCACATCACACCATCATATTGGGATTTTGTGCACATCACAACGCTACACAATAATTTGAAAATGGCCAGTTTAACGATTTATGGTGCTCGCCATTTCAGTGATTAAACAACTATGAGAATCACTGTCTATAAACACATATGAAGCTGAATATATCATATTATTTGACTTACATTCTTACAATTCAATTATGTTACTATAGAGAATTGTGTGGTACAATGAGATTTGATGATTTCTATAAAATGTGCACATCTTCTAAAATATTTATTTGTACTTATGAAGAAATTATCATCGCAAAATGCCTTCAGAATGGCAGATGCAGACCAATAAATGGTATGATAAAGAAAAGCAATCATTATTTCACAAATGTGCCTAATATAAAAAGAAGACTCAATTAAGTTGGCAGTAAACTTTGGAATTAAAAACACAAAATCACAAAATTATGCTCATGACAAAATAAAAATAATAATATATTTTTTCAGGCCTTACAAAAATTCATAGAAATCTTGTATGTAAATTGCAATACAAGTCATCTACCATTAATAGTATTTGGTTTGGGCTACTGGACTTGTGTGCCAGATACATCAGGTTTTGGTCAAGACACCAGAAGACAGAAATAATATATTACAATATTTGGTGATCATTTTGAATTTATAAGTTGCCATATTTTATTAGTCCCTGTTCGGACGCAGTCCGAAAATGGGGTCTTATGTTTTGACCTCCGTGCATCTGTGGTTCCTTGCGTGCGTCAGGTCCTGTATCTTAGAACTGCCTGGACAAATCACAATCAAACTTCACACATACATCATACAAGATATTATACATATGCACATCAATTTGTTTCACGATGTGATTGAAGTTAGCCGAATGGCGGGCATTTTTGTCGTAAAAATCATCAAAATCAAGCATTTCTCGGCTGTTTACAGATGCATTTTGTTCAAACATAGTATATACGTTGGACATTATAGGACCTTGATTCAAAATGGCCGACTGGCTGCCATTTTGTTTTAATAAATGTGGTTCTAGTGCCATATCTCTGACATGCTTTGACTGAGTATGTTCAAATTTGAAATATTCATTATACATTATTCATGTCATAGATATACAGATTATATTAAAAATGGTCGAATGGTGGCCATTTTTGTGCTAAAAAATCATCAAATATCTGGCATTTCTGGATGGATTTTGTTTTTGTTCAAACTTGGTACATACCGGTACATTAGACATTACAGATTCCTGATGCACATTATTTTTTTTATTTTTTTTTTTTTTTTTTTTTAATTTTATTTTTTAGATTGGATTCAGAATGCCTGACTAGTGGCCGTTTTGTTTTAATGAATGGGCTTCTAGAGCCATATCTCTGATGTCAATAATTTAAATGTTAAACAATCATCATAATCATATTCCAGACATGTTTATATTCCAGCTATATTACTATAAACAAAACTATATATTTTAAATTTGATAACTAACAGGGACTGTACCATGCATGGCTTGTTTTTGTTGAATTAAATTTTATTGAAAAACACTATTTGGGTTAATGTTACTTGTCATGAGTCTCACACATTTGTCATGATATCGGAAAATTTCAGTAAAAAACATATTTTCTCCGAATTACACGTACATTCTGTGTGTACATTCATTAATTCATTCATTTGATTCTTGCATTGTATTCAAATTATGATATCGATCCTAATGAATACATGACATAGAATGAATTATTACTCATTCATATTAATTTTGTCTTGTTGAGCAACTAAGCAAATACAGATACCCCTATTACATAGGCTCATTGTTACATGTTCTGATTATTCCAGAAGTTAGAAATTTGATTTTCTTTATTCCATGCTGACTTTTTGGACTTTCCCTTTATTGTGTTAAGTGTACTCTCTCTCTGACTTTAATTTTATCAATTCGTGGCAATAGGAAAATATCAATTTTGTCTCAATTTGTGAATGTTGATTTTATCATTTAACCTTGCCCTGTATGCATGTTCACCCATTCATAACTATAGAAACCATCTTCCATTTTCCATGTACATGTGCAATTACAATCAGTTATGCAGATCTAGTATTGATTTTCTAGATGTAT